GTCGTCGCCCTGGACGGGCTGGCCGGCTGCTCCTCGTCGCCGGCCGCCGGCGCGGGCCTGCCGCCAGGCTGCCTGCGCTTCGAGCAGCTCGTCGCCGCCGAGGAGGCCGGCGCCAACGGTAACGACCCGCCGGCCGCTGCTTGGGCTGTCCCGGTTTCTAATACCCATGGAGTGCTGAATGTTGATCTCTAGCCTTCCTTTGATTTTAATGTGCACTAGCTGCACCCATGCGATTACATCGCACCGAAGGAGAGCTTTAGAAAAGTTACCACAGAAAATACTGCTTTTCCATGAATATTTACGTTTTATATCATGAGCATGTAGCATTCTCGATGTTCGGCTGCGTCTGGGATCCCATCGCGTTGTCAGGGTTCGTTTTCTCGGCATTCTATTGCAGTAATTATTTATCTAAGTAATATAATATATACTTCGTACATCTATCATCAATATTATAAAATTAGCCAACACGTTAACAAGTACATCTAATTACTTGTTAATTACACATCTGCAGGCGGCAGAATTAGGAACTACTGTGTTTTTGAATGTGAGGTCACGCTGCTTGGGCTGTCCCGCGTTGCTGTGTCGCTTCGAATACCCACGGAGTGCTAAATGTTGATCTCCAGCCTTCCTTTAATTTTAATGTGCTGTAGGTGAACCCGTGCGTTACATCGCACCGAAGGAGAGCAAGTTGCAACGCAAAATACTGCATTTCCACGAATATTTACATGTTTTATGTTATGAGTGTGTATCGTTCTCCATGCTCTGCTGCGTCTGCGAAATATACTCAGTCACAGATCTGCCCAAGTGATGAATGTATATCAGCAATTTTAACAACTCGCTCCCTGTGAATATTTTTAATCGTAAAGTGTTTAATGGAAATGCATCGTTTGTGATTATTACAGAGGAGGATACATGGATCTATTACATAACGTTATGTTGGTAATAGTACTTACCATTTAATTACTATCAACTAACAAATTACAGAACATTTACTTCCAAATAATTCAACTTATCACAAAATAAAATAACTTACACGTAATCTCTCTTTCATCAATATTACTATTTTCATATCAATATCATTAACGAACATCAATAAATTTTATTTGTCAGTTCAAAATAATAAAAATTGTCTAACGTTCCATAGTCCAATGATCATTAGTAATCTGAAAAAACAATACAAAATGTACGTCCCTTTACATTAAAATGTCAGTGATGACATTAAACAAATGTCATTACAATAAGGTAAGTATTTGATGCTATAGGCCAAAACAATATCGAGGTATATGTGTAAAGATATTGGTAAATATAAAATATGTAAATATTCTTGGAATATTGTCTGTAGTAACTTTTCTACAGCTCTTGTTTTGTGTGATGTAATCGCACGGGTTCAGCTACAATTATAAATTACACTTACAATTATTAGTAATCGTTTATTGGTAATAATCGATTATTAATATCGTTGATTGTAACAATTACAGTTGTTTTAACAATGCAACACGTTTTCTAAGCAAGAACTTCCTCAGCCATCTTACTTGTTCATTTTCTTGCGAAGATGCTCATGACGCCATATTCCCGTTTCCATTTCCGCGCATTTCAAACAACGCAAATTTATTAGCTTTTTTTATTAATAAAGGAAAGCTGTGATCTTTTCAGTATATAGTCACCTCTACTCCTATTTTTTCTCTTTCTTTTGCTACCTCACTTGTTAAAAAACGTTCACTGGCAACCAAATAGGAGGGACATGAAAATCGTTGTCTTCATAGCTATATATATATATATATATATATATATATATA